AGGGTCCCCACTATGAAAGCCATCATAATGATTCATTGTACAGGAGACAACGGTGTTTTCCAACATCGCAGGCGCCAGGATCACTTGGGTCTTCCATCAACAGGTGGTCGCATGCTGGGCCCTCTCTGGTCCTTCAAATGCTCTTTTAGAACCCAAAAGACCAGTGATAAATGTATGCATGAGTCACCTGTAGCAGCTAAGCTGTCATTTGTTGGTATTGCATGTTTCACTTTGCTATTTTATTCACAGGAAAGAGTTTACGTGGGGCAAGATTTGACAAGGAAGAAGCATTCAATGTGAAGATTTTCATGGAAGCATTTGCTTGCAGAGGCTGAAGGGTGAATGCAATAGATTTATGTTCCACAAATATTATGTGTTTGCACTGTTTGTTACCCATCGATCAATTGTTGTGCTGGATGATGCAACATCCATTCTAAGGTTGCCAGAGTTGATAGGTGCTCAGGGGAGAGCATACGCTGTGTTACAGAATCTCAGAGGTGGTGCGGCCTCTCCAAGTTGCAGTATTTAATGGGCACACCTCTCTCAACACCACATTGTGCTGTGCATTACTTGGTTCTTTTTATTTGTTGCACGTTTTAGGCTTCTTTCTTCTTTTGTCCTATGAACTTTCTTTGCAAAACTGGGTGTCTTGGACAGTTTGGAGATGAGGGTTACAAAGTATAGAATGTTGTTGGAAAGCACAAGCTTGAGGAGGCCGAGGGCCTGCCAGCCTCTGCTTTGAACTTTGAGGAGCAACTGAGATACCAAGGGGCACAAGAAGGCTTTCAGAAGGCTTTGGAAATTTGGACAGGAGTGTTGGGATAACGCCACACAATTGCGGCACAGAACTTAATGTTGGGACGTGTTCTTCTAGCAACTGGAGATTATTTGAATGATAAGAACATGTTTCAGAGGGATTTGGACATTTTGAAAATGTGCATCGGTGGTGGGCAGCAGGATGTTGCAACCAATGTGGTTTATTTAGGCGTGGTGCTGTTGCGACAAGGGCAATTGTCCGAGGCCAGGAGTTACTGTAGCCAAGCAATGAAGATGAGAGCACAAGAGCTGGGTGGCACCTATCCTTGTGTGGCACAGAGTCTGACGATCTGGCATTGGTTCTATATCACTTGGCAGAACTTTAGGGGTACCATAAGCGCTTCTGTAGTGTGCTAAACATTATGACTAATGAGCGCGACCCTGAGGCTGCACAGAGTTTGGATAGGCTGGGAGCAGTGATGTGCAATCAAGGAAACTAGATCAAGGCAAAGGAGTACCAGAAAAAGGCGTGGGCCATTGGAAAGCAGGCCTTTTGCAATGGCCATCCAGCTGCTGCCGAAATAATCACAAATTTGGCAATGATTTGGCAATGGTGATGGCTCATTAGGGAAAGCTCTCTTAAGTAGAAGAATACCAATGCTAGGCATTTGCCATCAGAAAACGGGTACTGGGTAATTGGCACCCAGACATTGCCGAGAGCTTGAGCAACTTAAGCATTGGCAACGTCCCAACAAGGGAGGCTCACTGAGGCTGAGGAGTGTTACAACATGTTATTGTCCATTAAAAGTAGGCCCTAAAGGATGGCCGCATACACATTGCAACTACTTATAGCAATCTGGGATTGCTGCCGCAGAATCAAGTGAAGTTATTTAAAGTTGAACAACATCATTGCTGTGCTTTGGCCATCTGCCGCTAAGCCTTTGGTGGTGCTCATCCAAAAGTTGCAAAAACTTGGGATGCTTAGGGCATGTGCCATATAGTCAAAACAAATTATCTAAGGCTGAAGATTATTGCATACAAGAGTTGGACATTATTAAAATGTGCATGGATGCTACCATCCAAATGTGGCAAATAGCCTGCACAGCCTGGCATTGGCGATGTTAGATTATAAGAAACTTGAAGAAGTTGAGGAAGTGTTGAAAACATGTGTGTTGCGCGGCAGCGCGCAACAGGGGGCGAGAGAGAGTCCCAGTGCGGGCGCTCGAAGGCCATTAAGCCGGGACCCAGCACCGGACCCCAAGTACTATGTACTTGGGGTCACACCCGAGCGCCGGTACCTGGGGGTACCCCAGGTACCGGTGGCCACCGCCCTAGTCCTGGTGTAGCGACACTAACTCCTACATTATCATAACCGTAGCCCTATTGGGTTGGTTACCGTAGGGGTTGTCGATACCCCCGGGTACCGGTTAGTACGGTACAATGTGTAGAAGTGAAAAAGAGGGTGTTGGATTGTGGCCACCGGGATGTAGCAAGTGTGTTGCATAAATTAGATCAAGTTCATGAAAAAGGCATCCCTAAATAATTCTGGAAATCATGGTCAATTGTGCAACTGATAGTGTCTTGGAGTTGCAGCTTAATATCCAAGAACAAGCATGTCCTTGGTTGGCATGTTGGCACTACAACCTTTCACATAAACATTACACATGAAGGACATTATCATTATATGCAATGGTTAAGACGCACCTTCTTCCAGCTCATTTGTTCAATCCAAGTTGGGATTGCTTTTGCACCAGCTGTGATGTGCTTGTGATTGTGCAAACACTTGTTAAACTTATCGGCACCTGCCTTGGCAGAAGTGTTTTGAATGGGAATCTTTCATCAAAAGTCAACAACACACTTCAATGAGGTGAACTTGAATGTACAAAACTAAAATAAATCTCTGTTGCACCATATACCTGCCATGTGTGTTGTCACACTGAAGTATTTGAGGAACACATAAATGGATGAATCAAAAAGAGAGTTGTTGGAAGGGGCTTTTGCTATTTCAACTGAATATTGTGACGTGGTTACTTGGGGTTAGGCAGTTGTCGAAATTTCTAGAATGAGAATTATGTAATCAGGAAAATGGCACTTTTGCAACTGTTATTTAGAGCTTCTTGGTTCCAACGCGCTTTTAAACGCCCGATTCCGTTAAGAACCGGCAAAGATATGGCCTGAAGTCGTAGTACTTAGGGGTAGGGGGTCGGGTGTTAGATGCTTGGAATTAGAGGACAATGGGTCAATCGTAGGTGAACGGTGGATGGTGACAATGTGCCTTGACGCGCACTTGTGTTGTCTTGTCTTGATGTGACAATGATGGACCCGCAATCGGGCATCGCGCATGCAATATGTGCGCGCGCATGTTGTGAATCCGTGTAGCTCTTCTGGCCCACTCTCTGGCCTCCCGCGAGCCAGCGAACCACCACCTCGCTGCGCCGCCACCTCTCACCGACAGCAGGCCCCGGGGATCGATCCCTATCGAGCATTGAGCCCACTAGGCGACAAAGGAAGCGACTGCCCCGGATACACCCACCATCCGAGGTGGAGAAGCCGGCTGACCTCCAACAGCCGTGCTGCAGAGCAGGGCGACCCCAACGACTCCGGAAACCAGCAGCTGCCGATGGGGCCGCAATAGTAGGTGTATCAATTGTTAAAGTTGCAATTCGTATTCGTGTCCTTGTGCTCACGGCAAATTCTACAAATTCTTGGTGTCCTCAGGAATATGTTGGTTGACATTGCCATCTAGTAAAGAATCTAAAATTGGCGCACTGCCTCACAAATCCGTTGTAGCAAAGATTCCATCCTTGGTGTCCAAAGGCTAGACGTCCCTAGAAAATGCCCAATTCATGGTCCCAATCATTGGAACACTAACTCAGTCCCTGATTATTTTATATGCAACAGTAGGTCAAAACCCCTTTCGGCGAGACTACTGACATATGGGAGGAAAGCTATCTCCATGCGTTCTTTCACCTGAAGTGCCCGTGCCTAAGAATGACTAAAAGAATAGACCAAAATTTGGGAACCGCAATAATGTAGACCACCTACCACCCGTGTCTAACTTTGAAATTCACATATTTAGCTTGATAATGATTAGGGTTACCCATCTCCATGCTCACCTAAGGCTCACAATTATGACCCCTCCTCCTCCCCCCCCGCTCTTCTGCTCCCCCTTTCGTCAATGCTTGCTATAAGGAGGCATATTGTGATAACAGTCAAGGACTTAAAGTCCTTATAAAGTTTATATAATATAAAGTCCTAATATAAAGTATATATTGGAATGGATGGTGAAGGATACTATTGGGGGATCTTTTATTGCCGCCCCTTCATCCGAGCTTCCAATTTTTGTATCCTATAATTGTTGAGGGGTTCCTTGCAAGGAACCCCAGGGTCCATGTGTTTTAGAAACAATTGTTTCTAAAACAAGGTTGTGTGGTTGGGCAGCAACACACCCATGGCTGACGGATCATGGCCAATGGGCTATTGAACATTATCCCTCCCTGGACATAATTGGTATGTAGAACAAACAAACAAATATTGACACAGTATTCAAACAAAAAGTACCCGTAAATGAAAAGAAAATACATCATAGAATAATGTATATTCATCACTATTGTTCATTTTTATATAACAAAGTATGGCAGAAGGCGTTGGCTTCTTATTATACCCGAGCGAAGCTATGTCCATGATTTGTTCATTGAAATCTAATGTATAATCCCAACAAAGTACATAAATTCCCCAATTCCTATTTTCAAGAAGCATTTGTAGATGGCAATATGTGGAAAGTGTTATCGCCAGTTGGGAAAGGGGGATAGAAGCAAAGGTACTTTTGCATCTGGTATCACAATAAACTTGATCGATTGTGATGAATGTCATCATGGGAACAATAGTGAAAATAGAGAAAATTATCGCATCTTCCGAGCCGAGCGACAGAACGAACGCAATCGCCTTGAAAACTCTAGAACACGCATTTGCCAAGCCCTGCCTGTATCAAAGCATACCGCGCCACGTAGGATGGTGATTCACAATGCACAAACACCTTTTTCCTCCAGTCCCAGATTGCAAGCGGGTGAGGACACTTCCATGTATTACCGTCGGCAATCGCTTCTTGGCAACAGGTATTGATGGATTCTTGAACTTTGCTTGTGTTGATAAATAAGAATTCAATAAACTGACCATGGACAGTGCTTTGCTCGTGTAAAATAGGATGCTGACGGCTCTCTCCTTGCCTTGCTCCGTAGGGATGAATGATGGTGATGAAAAGACAAAATGCATCTCGTCTTCTGGAGCTGGGTGACCCAATGGACACAATCGCCTTGAAAATTCTGGAACACAGGCTCGCCCACCCGAGCCGTGCCCGCATAAGAAAAGCGCAGCACGCGCCACAGGCTGGTGATTCGAGGTCCATTCGGCCCTCAAGTCCCACTGCCCCCCCGAAGGCCACAGCCAATTCACGGCAACCCACCGCGCCTCGCCCCGAGGCACCAAAACCAACCCAGCAAGCCCCTCGCGGCCACTCACAGCCCACCAGCCCCCCCAGCCCGATCGCCCAGCCGCTCGCATCGGCGCGGCGCGGCACGCCGGGGGGGCGGGGGATGGCGCGGACTTGCCGCGCGTGCGCCGCGGCGTGCGGCCTGGCGGTGGGCATCGCGGCGCTGGCGCTCGCCGGCGTGTACCTGCCCGGGTTCATCGACGGGCAGCTGCATCAAGGGGTGAGCGTGGCCGATTGGGGCGTGGGGAAGGGGGCAAGGGGCATTTTCTTTTGCGGTTGTCGAGTTTTGGGTCCGGGTTTGGGCCGAGGTGTGGTAAAGGGGAGTCGGTGATTGGATCGCAGGGGGGTGGGGGGGCTGTGGGTGGGGCAGCGGCGATGGGCTATCTGTGAGGGTGGCTTGAGCTTGAAGAATGCTGGGGGATGAAGATTGGCGCGGCGATTGGGCGGGGGAGGGGAAGATGGGTTGGGAGTTGGGGTCCCGCCGTGCCGTGTGCCTCACGGCCCCGCGCGACAGATTTGGCCGCACGTGCGCTCATCGCCCTCGAAAGGGTCTTTTTGATCGTGTTTGGCTCGCGCTGGGGAACGAGCCTGCGGCTTCTGTGCTTCGCGTTCCACGCGGGGAGGTGGCAGGGAGCCGGTGGCTGCCTGTTCCCACTTTTCTCCTTTCGTGATGGCTGATGCGTTTGTGATTGATGATTGAGTTGTGGGCGCCAGGTGAGGGAGTACGTCGTGATGAGGCCGCAGGCCGCGGAGGACTACTATGGTGCGTTGGGGGGCTGTGTGTGTGGGGTGGTGTGGGTGGGTGGGGGGGTTCAAGATGTGTATTAGAAACCCCGATACACGGGTCATTCAATGGAGCATCTCCTCCTAAGTAGGCATGCAGCGGGTCCTGTTCCGCTGTGCAGCACTGTAGATGCTGTGTGAGTGGCGATTGGTTAAGGTAGGGGCAGAAATGTGTCTGGGCCTAGACGGGTGCCGGGTTTGCCCACACGCCTCCTAAGCTGTGGTTAGGGGCCCTTGCATGTGGAGGGGCGGTGCAATCAAAGGCTGTGTTCGTCGTTGTGCTGATGTTGGATGGGGGTTCAACAACGCATGCAAATGTGCGCCATTAATGCATGAGAACAAGGAGACAGTGGGAAATATCTCACAGCTCAAGGCCCCCGTGGATCCCCTGAATGGAGCCTCTTCCCGAAATTGTCACAATCGGTGTCCACATAAAACCAGCAAGACAAGATAGAATGACCATGAATGACCCCACCATGTTGGGCGAACATGTGCAGGAACATGTGCTCTTATAGTACCTGGAATTTGAAACATTCCTGCTGACCAGTGCACAGGGTGAATTTGGTGAATTTCATGTTGATGAATGATCACCAGTAGGACGCTGACCAGCAGGGCATAGGCGTGGGAAGTTTCGCTGGCAAAATGAATCCTGTAATAGCACATGCTGAACATCCACAAAACGCGGCCAGACCTTCCCGGGGGGCAAAAGGAGGGACAGTTCAAACACTACCCTCATCTTCAAAGCAATTGTACACCCCACCCCACCTGCTTAAGTAAAGGTTGAATCTAAATGCCAGCTTTTGATGGGCTGGCAAGTATCTGGATTCGGAGGCTTTATTTATGAGGTGCTACTGAAGCATTGGATGGAAGGAAGAGCTTGATGCCAGGACAACAAAACTGTTTGTGTAACTGCTGACATATATGGACACATGTACATAAATTCTGCATATGCTACATATATAGCTGTACACATCTAGGTGCTCTCGTGTCCTGGTTTGCCTAGTCCCAGGGCTGCCTTGCAAACTGCTGAACAGGGGATTCTGCCCTCTCAAGGTACCCATAATAAATCTTAGCCACTGTAGTCGAAGTCATGCCCATTGTCCTGTTGGCTCTTGGTCATCAGTATGGTATGATGATCTCAAGTGGTCCGAAATCACTGTGCAGTGCATGAAAAGTGATGCAATGACATCAGTTCAAAAGCTGGGGCAATCAACGTGTTTTGGGTGGCTGTAGCCTAGAAGAAACAGCCCGGCTTGGACAATTTCTTGTCCATTACGAAGTACCATGTACAGGTATTTTCAAGGCAGAGAAGTGCAGTTGCTGCACTGCATAGCTGGCATCAAAATTCTGTTGGAAGGGACGTGCCATACACAAGAAAGTACTGTTTGATGCAATGATGAGGCCATGATGCTGCATGTCACTTTACTCAGGGTTCCTTCAAGAATATGTGATACCCAATCAGTTTAGTTTGCATCACAGTTGCTCGCTGAGGTCTTGCAACGCACTAACTCCTTGTGAAATCTTTGGTCTCAAGGCAATATGTTCAGGTGCTGAGGCAGCTCAAGCTGCTGTTCCACATCCCTTTGTCTACAAATTGTTGAGAAACTGTGCTGTATCCCTGGACATGGAAAAGCTGTGGCTGAGGGGATGCATGTTTAGAATGCAAAATAGAGTGTATGTATTGATGTTCAATGAGCAGTCTTTTTAGTAACTGTGCCTCGCTGCCCATTTCAGGACGCTTTCTCAACAACACAAATGAGGGATCTACACCCTCTTACGTGCGCTTTTGGATGTTCAACATCACCAATTTGGACGAGGTGCACAAAGGGGCCAAGCCGAATGTGGTGAGCTCTGCTTTGGTGTGCAAATGCACTGACCAGTTGACGCCCAACATTACCCAATAGGTGCAATGGCAGTTGTGTGTCAATCTGCTTTCGATGAATGTAATCACCACGGATTTGCCACATGGTCTTTGTCCTGTGCTGTATGACAGAATGGCCTGTGTGTGTTGACATGCCATGTTGTGGCTTGCACCAGACGGAGATGGGCCCATACACCTACCGAGCGTACTTCGAAAATTTTGGCGTTGAGTTTGACTACGCTGGGATGATGTCATATAGGGTATGACTCAGGGTATGGCAGGGCAAGGAGTTTTGCCCTGCTGACTTGTGCATGAACAACACATGTGCTGTGTTCATGACGCTGCTGTGTTCATGACACTGCTGTGTTCATGACAGCTGGAACATGTACCACATGTGCAACACAAGTGATGTGTGCTATGTTGTGCAGCAAGAGCAGAAGGCACTGATGCTGCTTTTGGGAATACTGTCACGAATGCTGTATGCTGTTGTTGCGGATGGACTGCCATCGTATCCAATTTCACTTTTTTCTTCTTGTCCTTCATGGACACTGATAGTTCCCATACGGGTTTCAATTGAGACAAACATTTCTGAGCTGTCCGTCATGTTTCCTGAACATTCTAGAGAGGCGCCGTGACCTTAGTTGTTGGAGCGTCAAATTTAAGGAAGCTTGCTTGATTGAATAAGTTCCCATATGTTCCAGTGGGACTAAGCATGCAAATGTGTTGGGAACACTTTCTGCCAGAGACAATGCTCAACAATGCCTGACAGGTTCATTGATAGTGAATAATAATGTTTTAGCAGCTGTAAGATACAAGAGTTGCCAACACAAGGCCCATGTGTGCCACATACATCATGTGTGTCACATGTACCGCGCATGCCAGTTGGATGATATGTTCAACACATGCCACATACTTGACGTCCTCAACATATGCATACGTATACAGACTCAACATGTACCGCAAGTGCAGCTGGGGCAACATGCCGAATGTGGACACAATAAGCAACATGCACCTTGTGCTCAACATCGAGCGCATGTCTTTTCTTCAAAGGGACAGCAAAGTGCACCATATCACCACAGTGCCTTTGTGAGACTGCACGCTATCTCCAAGCCTGGGATGTGGTGTGTGCAGGGATATACAAAGTACATCTTCCAGCCAGACCTCAGCCCTGGCGTTGCTGAGAACGATACTGTTGTCACCCTCAACCTGCCATTTCTTGGGGCACTTATTGAACTCAAGGCCAGGTACAAGCACTTCCATTGGCTCATGGACAGGATCTCCTATTTAATCGAGAGGTGAGCTGTCCATTTGGCAAGTTGCTGCAGGCCATGCATCACTTCATCTTGGTCGTTGTCCTGTCTTTGCAAAACTTCATGAAGTTTGGGTTTTGAATCATGCATTGAACCCAATCACCTGTTGAGATGATGATCCCCAGTCAGAGGGCTTGTGTGGATTGCTTGCTTTGCTTGCTGCAGGAGCCACATGAACCTCGGAACTTTGCGGATTAGTCTGCTTGGGCAGCATTTTTGTGCTGCATGGAGAAACTTGCAAAACTGCCAAAAACCATTTCTGCTCCTCGCTAGTCATGCACACTTTGGCCGTGCCAACTGGGCTGCTGCTTATTTTTGCAAATTGCTGCCATTAACAGTAGGATGCTGGCCAAACTCCTTGACCCTGAGGCTGGAGTGCCACTATGATGCACACTGCTGTAGTACTGTGTTGTACTGCAATGTGCTGCATTGTCTTCTGCTGCAAGTCTCTGCAGTGCTGTACTGAACTGAACTGCACTGTACTGACTTTGCTGTAATGTGCAGCTCTGCATTGTACAATTCTGTTTCACCACATGTTGCATGATGCCAGTTGGGAGACAGCATTTGTCCTGCTCTGACGAATGTAGGAATAGCAGTTTCACACTGCATGTTGCTGTGTCACCAGATGGGGCCAGGGCAAGGCGATGGGCTTGTTCATGAGCCGAAGAGTGGAGGAGCTGCTGTGGGGCTATCTGGTAAGCTCCTGTGGATTGTGTTGTCAGTCCACCCATGACACACGGGGCCCCTGCAGCTGGTATGCGGTGATAGTCACAGACATGTCCAGCCAGTGTGCGATTAACCCAGATCCTCACTCTGCACACTGCATGAAAAGACAGAGGCAGAACCAAGGGCACTTCTGTAGATAAGTTCTGAGAAAAAGGAAAATGGAGTGGAAAGAATGGAAATGAAACTGAGAATCGAAAAACTCTTCATGGAAAGAATCTTTAACCTTGTGGGCCCCATGGTTCCTTCCAATGGGTCATCTCAGTCTCAGTGTGGGGCCACCAGATGAGGACGCAGTTTCTGAACTTGCAGCCAGCAGAAAAATCCCCCAATCGAATGTTGAGTGGTGCAAGAAGTGATGTTCTGCACAACATTCTTGTCCCCAGACCCCAGTCTTGCACCAGGTATTGGTTCATTGGCGTATCAAACTAAGTACGAGTGAGGACGTTGTTTCTCACACTGCCATCAGTGTGGGCTGGAACCTGGAAGGTGTTTCTGCATCATTTATGAATGCACCAGTTGACATTATGCCTACTTGGTGCCATGGAGTTCAGACAAGTCTTGTGTGACAGAATCTGTTGGGCATCCAATAGTCCCAGGACATCACTGGGCCACTGTTTCGGGCCGCTGTTTTTTGAATAGCAGTCAGCGTGGCCCAACTTAAAGCGAATGCTCAGATTGCTTTCTTCATTCGGGTAGCTTGCGACTTGACACATGTTGCTGTGCATGGGCAGGATCCTCTCCTCTACAGGCTGCAGGACTACGTCGATGTGAATCCAGAGTTCTCTTTGATGCACAATGGGAGCGTCGATGTGGCATTGTCGGATGAGCTAACAGTCATAAACACAGGAGCCGCCAACCTGACTGCATTGTGCAATGTGGGCTGCAGAGCAAATCGCATAGCATAACTGCTGTGGTGTGTCTGTTTTGCTATGCAGTGTGCTGCTATACCATGGCTGCGACATCCGTTTGCTTGCAGTGTTTGAGTATTGTACGGCTTGCTGGTGGCCAAAGACTAGTGACGGCAGCAACAACAACGATAGCATCATGGGCAGGAATTAGAAGGTCCTGTGCTCACTGCAGCATTGAAGTGTCTGAGTGCCCGCAATCTGGTTGGTACACCCTGAAACTGTGGGTGGCATCGTAACAATTCTGCAAGCGGGGCTTCCTTCTGCACAGCATTTTTTTGGGTCATTTGTTGTTGGCTGTTTCACTTTCTGACTCCGTGCTTTTTGCATTTTTGCCACAGATCGAGCAGCTGAGAGGTGTCTCGAATGTGTCATCATGGAACAACCACACAGAGATGGTCCGAGGAACAGACGGGGCTCACTTCCACCCTTGGATGGCGGACAATGAGACCATGACTGTGTGGGTCAACGAACTCTTCCGGGCCGTGGAATTGTCACCCATTGGTTCCGTGGAAAAGGACGGAGTCAGGCTCCTCAGATACGAGTTGGTGAGCAAACACCTCATTCAATTGCTGACATGGCCTCTCCTATGCCTTGTTCTGTATGTTTGCCTGCTTGTACTTTTAATTCCACAAAATTTGTTACTCTTCTGCGCGATGGTGTTCTTCCCACGTCCATGTCAACTGCTGTTGTGCAGTGCTTGTTAACCATGCACTGTCTTCTGAAAATGCAGCCAGCAGCGTGCATGTTGCTGCGTGGTCAGTTGCATCTAACCACACCAGACACATATTCCAAGCAAAGCGTGTGAGGTTCCAAAGTTATAGCAAGTATTGCAGATGCGACACGACTTTTGGAAGGGAGGTAGCATATGTTTTGTCAACAAGGTCAAAACAGCAAAACAAATATGGCTTAACATTCACACAAGCGAACTCAGACGCATAGGTTAGCTATTCACAAGTTTGTTAGTAAATAAGTAACAGATGAATGAATGAATAAGTAACAAGCAAAAACGAACCAAAACAAACAGATAAATGAATGAACAGATAGATGAGTACATGAACACGTGATGAATGAATGCATGAACTGAAAAGAGGGTTGTTACTAACTTCTGGCAACCTGCATTGGTTTTGGTCCCAAGGACCCATCCATGGCCAATGCGGACCCCCGATTCTATCAATACGTTGAAGGCCTGTTCAATGCAACTAGCCCCACAGTGGCAGGCCCCAATGGACCCTCGGACCAGCATGGCCTGCCAGTGTACTTCTCATTGCCGCACTACTGCCACGCTGCATCCAATCTGGCAGAGGGCGTGAATGGCCTGAAATGCAACTTGACACGGCATGAGCTGTACATCGACGTGGAGCCAGTGACAGGTGAGGGAGGTGGAAATGTCACGCTTATTATGGAAATGGAGTGTTTGTTGATCGATTGATTGATTGACTGGGAATTGCTGAGAGGTGCAAATTGCGTTGCTGAAGTGTGGCACCAAGAACATGAGATCAAAGGACATGCCTATATACTTGTCACAACACCTGTTGCTTTTCCCAGCTCATCTGTACAGTCAGGGCTCAAAATTGCCTTCCTGACCAGAAAAATTTGCTGGATCGAAGTGTTGCAGAATGATTTTGGTACTTGCCAAATGGACACGATGTTCAGGATCTTCAAAGCCCACAAGTGCAGTCATCGAATGGCCAGCAACTCGATTGGTGTATACCCCGAAGAAAAATGTGAAAGGAAGGCTGGAAATTAGTTCCTAAATGCAGGAAATAAGCATGTGGAACACAATTAAGTACAGGTCAAAACATGATGCCGTTGTTCTGGAACACTGCCGATGGCAAAATGTCATGCTGGGCGCAGGCCAGACGTGGCGTGCAGCCAAGCGCCTCATGATGAGCTCCGAGTTTGGTCCGGACTTCAAGAGTGTGGATGCACACCTCAACCGAACCATACTTCCCATTTTCTGGATAGAGGAATCTGGAGAGGCCTCAGCAGCGCAAGCCGAAGTCCTGAACGACCGAGTGTTCAAGTGAGTGGCAACAGAAGGGTTGCGCAGAACGTGACTGTTCGTTTAGTGTAGGAGGACAGTGATGCTGATGAAAACCGTATCAACACTGGTGGTACATGAATAGTAAAACATTGAGTTATTATGGTGATAATATTCTGGTAGTCTTGGAAGGGTATGTGCACAGCTGTGTTGAATGTATGGTGCTGTGATGGAAACAGGCTTGAATGGCCGACTGGGGGTCGGCCTTGCTTGTTCAAAATACAGGAACAGACAGCGTGGCACGTGGATACTGTGTGTAAATGCCCCAATGTGCCAATTGTCTGGTTTGCCAAGAGGATGGCCAGTTTGGAATAATGGGGTGACTTATTGTCTGAAAAGTGGTTTTGGGGTAGCTGTGGTTTGGACCATGATGAACTGCTGGTTTCGGGGTACCGCACAGTTAGGTGTTGTTTGGGCTTGCAGAGTGCTCATTTGATGGCTGATGTGCCTGAAGCTGTGTTCCATCGCCCCCAGGATTCAGAGGTTGATACAAATGTCCGGACAGTTGCCAATCATGTTGGCCATACTGCTCGGTACAATCCTGCTGTTTATTACAATTGCCCCATTTGTGGCACGAAAGAAACGATGGCGACCAAAGATGATGTGGGGAGGCCAGGCATTTGCGCAAAATGGCGCCCACACAGGTGGGAATAAAGTGTTGGGCAGAAGATACAACAGCGCATGTGCCAATTGGGCACTTTGCGAATTGGACACCCTGAAAGACACCTGTGGATGTAAAGAGTCTACTATAACATTGCATGTGATTGACCAAGAGAAATATTCTGGCACTGTAGTTTTGTCGATGTTCGCAAATATTGCAGTTTATTCTACTCTATCATAGTACCAAAATGCATGCTGCAAAGCTTTCAGCTGTCAAAATAATGAGTGAAACACGGAGAGTTGTTGAGTGTGTATGACTGGTGCAATGCACGGAGAGTGAAGTGAACTGTGAACTTGCCACCCACTGTGTTGTGGGTGGCAAGCGGATGCAAGTCTTTGCTGCTGGCAACACAGCATTGTGCGCACTTTGCCAGAGAGGGTGTTCAATATGCTATACATGGGAAACCAAATTGTCATATCTCAATCATTCAGGGAGTCGATCGAATCTATCAGTCAGTCTGTAAGTTGGCCAGTCAGTCAGCAATTCAGTCGGTCGTTGAATGAATCAACCAAACTTCATTCAATCAAATCGATTGTATCATGCCAACTGACCTGTGCAATTGCGTGCCGTTCACCAGAGCCAGGCACATCTGACGACCTAGAGGCACCCCTGATCCAACGAAGGAATGGCACAGCCAGCCAGCCACTGCCGCCCTCCCCAGATGGCAGCCCATCGAACGGGAAGCTCCCCTTTCAGAAGGCGATGAACTAACCACTTCCACACGTGCTGGCACTGTGGCAGCAGCCGCAGCTGGGCCAATGCCTCCCCGGTGGCTTCATTTGTAGTTGTGGGCTCTTCACCGGGAACTGCACTGCGGCATGAGTTCTGGGCTGAAGCGGTGCTGTGGGTGGGCTCCACAGTGCATCGCCAAACTGGCAGGAAAGCGGAGGGTGGGGCATCCAATGTGTGGATCGCCGCCTTTTGGGTCTCTGTGACGATGGACCTGCTTGTGTCAGTCTTGGAGAAATGTTTCTTGCAATGGAAAAGAGGCAGCCTGCTTTCAGCTTGATGTGCAGGTGGGTTTGAGGTGCATGCAGTTGAATGAGAGGGAGGGGGGAGTGTGGAGGAGAGGAGGGGGGAGGAGGAGGGCGCGAGCAATGGGCAGTAGGTGCTGCGCACACAGTGTCATCTGAATGTCAAGCCTTTGAATCACCTTATTGGCGGACTTGGGGTGTAGCGTAGTCAGGGATCAGGGGAATGGACTGTGAAATAACTGGGCGCTGATCTATTGGATAATGGCGCCCACTGATTGATAACAAACATTGGCCGATTTTCATTCGCACGGCTGTCGTCGTCCCGTGGTGGCAGTGCCTGCCAGGAGTATGAAGAGCAGCTGTCGCAGGGGCGTTCGGGTTTTGTGGAAAACGACTTGGTATTTCATTGAGATGTGCTCGTGGGTAGATTGGGGCTTTGCTGAACTAGAGGAAGAGACTTGGGGCCAAACTTGGGAGGCGCCCGTGTACATTAGGGTGTTCTGTCGGCGCCGTGCACCGACGGCGCTTGGAGCGGGGAATGCAATCGTTCCCAAACTCACGTGTGGGGGTTGCGTTGTAGTTGAGGGATTCATTCTTTGGTGTGCTGATTTGATAGATTCCACCGAAAACACATTCGATCACCTGTCGTGTTTTTTGAGGCTCTCATTGCTTAAATTGTCGCATTTACGAATGACCGCTGGGGTGCGGTTGCCTCTTGAGGACCTTTGAACGGCTGTCTTGATAATTCATGACCGCATGGCCGTTTGCTACGCAAACATCTTGGCCATTGCGCATCCTCGGTTTTCACATCTGAATGGTATGATGCGAAGTAGTGCAACTGCACAGAATTCGTGTTATATAATTGTGCGTTCAATCCACACGGCGTCCATAATGTGGCACATATGGCATTACAAATGTTGGCAGACCTGCCTTTATCCACTGTTTTTTTGAGTGCATTTTCCCGCTGTCGCCATTACATCAAGACATCCGGGCGTGCATTCACAGCCGCCTCCCCACAGTCACCACGGTGTCTTCTCGCCTTGCTTCCCAGGCGTGCTGAGTGCTCGCAGTGAAGACTATGATACGCTACAATGCTATTTGTGCTGCGATACTACCTCGTAGTGTCGTAGTAATATTGTGCTAATCTTGCCGGGAACGCTCCCTGCTCTGTTGCACTCTCTGAACCCTTCGGCAGAGACCAGCTAAGCCGGGCCCAAAAATGCGCAGATCTGATCTACCGAATGGGCGTTCCTCTCGGAATATTCCGATGTCTGGGCCCGCCAGTCCAAACGGCAAAAGCTCTCAGTGCAAGGCGGGACACTGCGGCGCCTTTGCCCAGTCCTGTGAATCCAAATTGGAGGCTTGAAGAGCACCCTGCAGCCGAGCGCATCCGACAGCAGCAGTTCCGCAGATAGCGCAGGTGTTGGAACCCCTTGTCCCTTGTCGTCCACTTGTGGCCATGGCGCCAGAGTCTCGGTGACGTTCATCGACTAGGTCGCATCAACAGCTCATTCTGATGAAGTAACTCACGGCCGGCATCACTGCGACGCTGGTCCACCGCGGGCGGCACCTGCACTCGCACTGCGTCAATGCAACATCTTGGAACCAGGATGCAACCAAAATGCAACCGAGAGCTCAACTGCATGCCCCATGGGCAGGGGTCGGTCGGGCTGGTGGTCGCTTGGTCCTCTCTGGCACCCTGACGCTGATGCCCTCCCTCCTGCGCCCGTCGACCACCAAACTGAACCTTCCAGATAAGACCTCATCGCTCAACAGACCTGTTGAGCCATGAATCGAATCGAATCGTATCAAACGCATCTCGAGTGGATCGAACCAGCCGAATCGAAAGAAATCGAGTGAATCGAATAAGATTCGATGGCAGTCTCCCTGTGGACGGCGTCATGGGTCATGCGAAGTATCCAGACCGACCCCAACGCCCTCCTCCTCTCGATCTCGATCGGACGGGCCTACCAGCGGGGGCGGCCCCGCTCCTCCTGGGCGGCAACACTTGATCGGTGTGGCCAAATCTGAAGAGGTCTCCGAGGAGATCATCCCTCAGAGCCGACAGCAGGCTCGGTGCAGGGCGGCGAGCGCCCCTCGTTGATGCCCCCCCCCTACCGGCTCTTCTTCCTGCCAATAGAGCATACCGTAGAAAATGAAACACTTCCGCGTGGTATCGTAACGCTTGGCCTTCTTACGCGGAGAAAAAATAAAGTGACGGTGCCAAGAAAATGCATAGCCGCCCCCAGCGGCGGGTCAAGGGTCTCTGGAGCACTCGTGGCGTCTTACAGCTCCGGATGCAGGAGTCGATGCGATGGAAAATCGGCATTTGAGGCCATGTGGACTCTGGAGCAAAGTCGCCATTCCGGCTGTGGCCATGATGCGGAGCCCCCTAAAATAACGGTCCGTCCAAAAAATGCGGAGCAAGAATCGTAACTCTGAAATTCTACAACGGCTGAATATTCTACGATAATGTCTTCTCGCCGATCCTGTCGGTTGCGCGAACGCACCTGTTGATCCTCTCTGAAGACCGGACCCACTTCTCCGGGGCACAAGCAGTTGATTGATTTCGCCAAATCCGAAGGGATCTCCGTGAAGGTCGTCCCGCAGGGCAGATAGAAAGCATGGCGCAGGTCGTTGAGCGGCCCTACTTGCAGCTCCGGCCCTCCCTGCTCCTCTTTCTGCCAGTAGAGCATACGGTCTTCTCGTCGGTGGCGCCGGCCCAGTGTATCTGCCCGTCGATCCTCTCTGTTGACAGGTCGCTCTCATTGTGGGCACCGGACGGTGGGGAACGCCAGAGGCACGGGGAGCGTCATTTGAATGTGGTCGTTCGGGTGGTGCCGAAGAAGGAGGCTCCGTCGGTGCGCGGTTTTCGCCACTGGCTCCCCCGCTCGACCTGAATGACCGCGATGAATAACAAATGTAATATATAACAAGTTCAAGTAGTAATAACAACAACAATAATAAATAGATAGTGACAATAACAATAAGCAACAAGTACAAGATACGTGCGACGACGACACAACGAAACCAGCAACGTTGCATGTTGCCTGCCACATATCAATACGCATTTCAAGACGCTGATGCACGTCGAACACGGACCGATGTTGTGCTCAGCGACACAATCTTTTATTGAACAACGCAAAACAATTATGTTGTTTAGCATATTTACCGGTAAATAACTGTGACTATTATTGTAGCGATAATTGTCGAAAACTGATCAACAGCAAAACTTGCCGAAAGATCCAGTTCAAGGAGACAACAGAAATGCCATTGGTTCGTGCGCACTTAAGTCTAATTGCATCTTTCACTGGAACAACTGAAGCACAATGTATTGGCAAGGTTACATGTACCGCAAGACGCTGACCGCCTGGAAGTCGCCGCCCGTAAGATGGCCTGTTGTGTTCTGCTGTCCATCTGGACATATTCGCGTCAACTGCATTTGACTTCGCATTGAGCACTGCGGGCAGCGGTATTTGCGTTGCTGCGGACATTATGGACGACTCGTGTACCAAAATATCCAGCCAGCCATACCTTCCTATTTGGAACCCAAGACGTGCATCATTCGCTAATGCATAATATTTCGAATGGATTTTAAGCGTCCAAATTGCGCTGCATCAGCAGGGGGGTTGCTCGCATCATGCAAAATAGATCTTATATTGTGGATCCAAATTAGTTTTGCCCTGATCACTAGAGCAGCATGCTCGCGTTGCATCTCTTCGATCATCAAAAGAATTATCTAAAGGACTGTTATTGGGGTTGATACTTTGTTGATCAATGGTTTTCATGAAATACCAACCAATCGATCAATCAACGTATTTCATGAAATACGATATTGGTTACACAGATGATGCTCACAAGAAGAAAAGTACATGTAAGCGCATGCACCAGCACGGCATGGTACGTACGCACGCGGCATCTGCTGCATCACATCCAATGTATGTACACATACATCGAGATGTTGTTCTCTGAGTGCGAATTGAAGTGCACAGCAGGAGGGCGGGAGAAACCGTTCGCCAAAGCCACGAGCAAAAGAAGGACCAAATAAAACTTTTGCGAACACACATAAAACACATTTCATCAAAGTTCTGCACGCTACTAACACAAGAATAATACAAACCCGTAAACTTTGTACACGTTTGAACACGTGTTATTTGGCCCTTTTTCCCTGGTGAGTGCAAGCGTTCGCTTTCCAGGTACGGTTTTGCACCCAACGATACGGAAGCCGTCTTTTTCAGGACGCATTGATGCCGTTCGGCGCCGCTCAATGTTCCTAGGAACTTCAATTCCAAATTACACGCGGCAAATCATAGATCCCACTACAAAAGCGTCTTTTCTTTGCCCCATTCAATGCCACCCCGACGCACACCTGAAGCTGCAAAAGCACCACTGCCGTTTCCACAGACGCAATTCAAGAGACCTGCTTAAGTTAACATCATTTCCCAAATTGCCATCAAACGAAAAAACAACGCCCCGTCTCATCGCGCGCCCCCGCATCCATGCCCACCTCCCAGCCGAGGCTCCCAGTCTGGCCAGATATTCCCACCGTTCTTTCGCCTCCTCCTTTCCCTTCCGCTCCTTTTCTTCCTCAAACGAACACGGCGCACTCTCCTCCATCGACACCCGATATACCATGTGGCCAGCGACCTCGCCGCGAGCTGCAGGACCCGCCTCTCTTCCCACCACTTGCCTCCCGCTGTCGCGTGCCCGCCGTAACGCCGGGCCCGCGGAATTGAC